AGAACAGCGATAAATTCAGCTCCAGACATAGTGATTATTTCAGAATGAATACACTTGAGGTTTGAAGTTATAGGAATCTGTGAAATCTCAAGGACTCAAATGGGCTGGTAATACTGTCTGGGGCTGAGATATGCAAGTTGAAACACAGCCTCAGCGATAGGGATAAAAGCTACCAATGGGACAAAATACTCATGATCTTATCACTCACATGATGGACCTAGAAACCCGTGATGATTGCTGCCATGCTTCTCACCCGAATCTCGATACAATACCTTAGACATACGCGATCACCTCCCTGACGTATGCCACTTGTAAAAGCTTAGGTACCTCTTGAAGAGGGAGTGTTCAAGAGAGGCCCATGGTGGTTGAAACCGTCGCTTCGAGGGTGGATTCCCATAATGACAAAATGAGCTCGTCGTCTTCGAATGCAAAGTGAATATCGATTGCATGTAGTACCGAGTCAAAATGTCCCGGTAGTGATAAACCATACCGTTGATGTTAGAATCCGGTATAAGTTATTGATTCTGAATATGCTGGCTGTTCCGGATAAGGTTTAACGCTCCCGCACGGATCTCACGATTTGTTGATGAAAGCTTGCCCAAATGTTGATTCCTTTAATAGAAAATAAACGTCATTTAAAGAGATGTAAATTTTGAATGACTACTAGGTACATTAATACATCAATCGATTCTTTGCACATATAACTTTCTACCTGGAAACCCTTCTGTTCAACTTCTTGTCGATAGAGATAGAATTAATACACCCGACTGACGTTCCTATGGCTTTCACCGGTGCCAGCCCCTCAGAGCATACACCTCTTCTCGACCAACAAGCTCTCAGTCCTACAAATACCTCTAAGAAAGCCCCAAGGAACGTTACCTTCAATGACAATCCAACTATTAGGACAATTGGCTTGAATGAACCTTCACAAGCACTTAGGACAACTGAATCCAATGAATATACACAATCGCCTAAAACAATAGCCCCATCACCACCTTCTCTCAATAGCAAACTTCGACGTCGAAACAGTCATGGATCCCCTCAAGTGCCAATGCACTCAGCATCAAAGATAGGCCCCCAAAGAGCTAGTAAGATCACACAGAAGCTTAAATATCTTCCAGATTTGGAGGTTGGCGCAGATGGACCCGACGAAGAGAGCGGACGAGACGTTTATTCTCAATTTACACGAATCAAAGATCCGACCGCGCGCAGAGATGCTGCAAGGCTGGGGAAGGCCGATCGCGCTCGATTGCCTCGAGTGACTGCATACTGTACTGCTAACAAATACCAACTGGAAAATGTGATGCGCTTCCTAAATGGTCGGGGCAAGAAGACGAAGGGAGCAAACCCAAAATTGTTTGATGAATGTATATACACACCATTTAGATACGGCAAAGACCATGGAAAGACACCTTCGGATCGGGACATGGAAGTACATAGTGCGCCGGTAAAAATGACGGAGCGACGACATTCGGATAGTGTCATTGAGGTGGAAGACAACAATAAACAACGTCGAGAAGACCTCATAGACCTGCATACCAATGGCGGTGATGTCGCTATTAGTAATGGCGACCACTCTCCCGCTAACAATATTCTCCCAGATATCATGGAGCGGCAAATAGAGAACGAGACCGAGGCTCTCATATCAGAAAGCAATCCCGACTTTGATACTCGAATTCATACACCCGAAGTATTCTTATTTGGCTACGGAGTTGTGGTAATATGGGGTATGTCTAAAGAGGATGAGCAGCGATTCCTGAAGGACATAGCCAGGTTCGAGAGCGGCAAATTTGCAGCTGCTGATGTGGAAATGGAGTCTTTCAACTTCTATTACACCGTAGAGTATCAAGCTAGGATTTACAACGATTTTATCACCTTGAAGGACAAGAGGAATTACATGACCAAACTAGCAATTTCTCACGGCTTGGCGCAAAGTGTCAAGGTATGTCGTCTTTGAACCCGACATTTGTTAGTGTACTAACTATCTAATTCAGACCTCACTTTTTGAATCTTTAGTAGACAGCACCATCGACGAGAACAAAGACATTCCTACCCAAATCGCGCTGACAGGAGCTATTGATCTCCCACGAAAAAGAATCAATATGCAAATTGGCGAGCTCTTCATCCTCCGCATTAACATCCATCTCAATGGTTCAATTCTAGATACGCCAGAACTATTTTGGTCAGAACCGCAATTGGAACCAATATACCAAGCTGTGAGAAGTTACCTAGAAATGGATCAGAGAGTGAAGCTGCTGAATGAGAGACTGGATGTCATCGCGGACTTGTTGGCAGTTCTTAAGGATCAACTCAGTCACAGACATGGAGAGAAGCTAGAATGGGTTGTCATCGTTCTGATTGCTGTGGAAATTCTAGTTGCAGTTCTTAATATTGTCGTCGATTTGTCAGTTGGCGAATAATCCACAGAACTACGTACTCGCCTTCTCAACTACGCTATGAAGAGATCTGATTCGGTGTTTGAATTATTCAAATGCTCAAGATTGCTTCTATGTTGAAGAGCATTTGATTCCCCAGAATCCTCCACTGTCGGATTACAATGCAGCTACCATTCAACCAACATTTCAAGCTAGAAAGATAGCAGAGAAAATTGTCATGGCATACCCAATCACCACACAACATCCTACTGGAATATTAACATAATCACCGCCCATCATTCCGATTTCTTTTACCATTGGAATGGCATCCGAACAATTTGTACACGAGATCTGATCATAGGGGAACGCAGGCGTCATTTTTTCTTTCTTCCTATTCGTTTCGTTGGGGTAGCACTTACAAGCTTGTACATAATAATTATATCACATAGTACTTGAAGGACTGTGTGCGTGCATGCATGGCGTGGAGGGAAACGGGCGTTTTGATATTTGGATAGATGGGGAAGTTGTGTTTCGCGAGAAAGGATAGCTTTGAAGGGGACTTGTATATGTAGATAGGGTGAGTTGTAAGAATGGAAAGAGTCGACTGAATACATTTTGTGTGTTATGGCGTGATGTGAAGTGTAATGTGAAGTGAGAGATGTTGATTGGTGGTCTACTGCATTCTTCAAGAAGGATGCCTAAGTAATAAGAGTATCGTTTTGATACCTCTTTGAAAGCTTATACATGTTTGCTGAGCTGAACACTTTCTGGTCTATTCTCGGGTATATCAAAGGGGCATTTCTGCAGAGTCAAGAAATAGTAAGATCGTGTGAATATAATATTACACCAAAAGAAGTGGACTACCGAATACAAACGCAGATAGAAATCTGCACGAAAGATTCCATCTCGGGGAAATCAAAAAAGTAATTCTAATGTTGCAAGCAAGCAAGCAGCTTGATCCATCTTCACGCCCCCTAACGCCAAGTTTCGAATATTTTCGTCCTTCCATTGTCCCATTCGCATATCGTATTGATCCCGATCCATTCCATTCCTCGACTGCCAAGTAAACTCCGTAGGTTGTATCTAGCCTCTGTTCACGGATGTGAAGCCACCAGCTCCATTGGCTCCGTTGCCATTGGGTGTTTCTTCGCGACCGCTGTCTCCCATTTCTACATCTTCATCTAACGGGGTGCTGTTTTCAAGTTTCTTTGCATTTTGCATTGCTTTGAACAAATTCTCGTAGCGTTCTGTGGTTGCAGCATCGGCTTCTCTCCATCCGGTTGCCAAAAGATGGTCGATGTCGAGGTTTCCTTCTTTGATACCACGTCTATGCTGTACCATCATGGGCCCACGTAATTCCTGGCAGTATAATTCGAAGCCTGATGCAGGAGTTTTGGGTGGTCCAGAAGGGGGAATAGACGGGGAATGGGAGGCTGAGTGCGGTGTTCGACCGCCCATAGGAGTAGAATTAGAGAGTGCGCGGCGGGGAGATATTGGTTGTGGATGGGCAAGGGAGGTATTGAAGCTATTAAATGTTCCTTGGCTAGGATTACTCGGCATATCGAGATGTGTATGAGAGAAGGAGGAGGAAGAAGGTGAGACGGCGAGATTGGCGTTTAAGCTGTTGGGCAGAGGAACGGTTGGGTCGCCGAGGGTATTCAGGAAAGAGGGTTTGCGATGACCACGCTTTGTGCGCAATGGCTTTTCTTGAGGCTACGAATTTCTATGTTAGACGTCTGTCTGCAATCACACGGAAGGGGGCGCGCAAGAAGAGATATTGATAAACCTACCGTTGGGGGTGGACTTGGGGAACCCTCTGAATCTTCCACATTTGTACTTGTCCGTTTCGACATCTGTTCCAACAAAAAGGCTCGCTCCAAACGCATCTTGTTAATTGCTCGACGCATTCGTGCCAACCTGAGGCGTGCGGCATCATTGGCTTCTTCGACTTCATTCATTCGAGTCTTGAGTTGAATACATTTGCGTTTGTATGATTCTTCGACCGATGGGGGAAGTGTTGGTGGGTTTTTGGATATCCCATTGGACGCCATTTTGATTGTATGGTGGTTGTCCAACAGATCACGTCGAAGTTATGCTTCGAAGGGGATCAACCACTATCCTGAGCTTCACAGTAATGCGACACCTGAAGTTCCCGAATTGATATGGTAAAGGCGATTGATCTGATTAAAACGTGGTTGAAGGAGACAAACTTGGTTGTGGAGCGCAATCTTGAACGTTGGTATTAGCACTAGATTCGTTCCACTGCCTGGATTTGGGGTCCTTTGAATAGCTATGAAGCCTTGTGAATGGATTAATATAACGTACGTACTATTGAAGCTGATAAATTGAATGTGTTGAATTTTCTCCTAAGCTTTTGCGCGGATTTGATGATTGTTCTGATGAGTTTTGTATGATAAAAATATCTGTACGGTTTTGTAGTATTCGCGTTGGTTGTCTCAAATTTAAGCTTCACATCGCATCTCGTTCTTTGGTCTATGAAGCTATTCAAGTCGGGTAAACTATGGCATGACAGCTCCTGGGCATACATCGAAAACTATTGATGCCTTACTAAATAAGGCCAAGATCCACGCTTCCTCCACCAAAAAAGGCAGATAGACGCGACTTTTTTCCCTGAGCAGGAAGGAAAGGATAATATCAACGCAAAACATCTTTCTACGGAACACATTTTAAGATGTCTCTCAATATCCCAAATGCCCCAAACTCTAATCTTTTCAAACAAGGTTACCAAAAGTAAGAGTTTCTCCCTGAATTCCATACAAAATACAACAGCTAACCCCCTCCAAAGCTATGATTCTGAAGATGGAGCAGTTATTCGTAACATCGATGCATGCCGGACTATTGCCTCAACAGTTCAAACTTCTTTGGGACCTTATGGACGAAACAAGATTGTCATTAACCATCTGCAAAAGATGATCCTCACATCAGATGCCGCAACTATCCTTCGAGAACTCGATGTTGTCCACCCCGCAGCAAAGCTTATCGTCATGGCCAGTCAGCAACAAGAAGCCGAGATGGGAGATGCTACAAACTTAGTCATTGTTCTTGCAGGAGAACTCTTAAAGAAAGCTGAGGACCTGTTAAGAATGGGTTTAAAAGCTAGTGATATAGTTATAGGTTACGAGCGAGCACAGAAGTTTGCTTTAGAAGAGTTAGAGAACTTGGTAGTAGACAAAGTAGAGGATATGCGATCGCAGGCCGAACTCAGCAAAGCTATTCGAACTGTTATTGCAAGCAAACAAAACGGCAACGAGGATTTCTTAGCAAACATGGTCGCCGAAGCTGTTTTGGCCGTTCTCCCAAAGAACCCAATCAACTTCAACGTCGATAACATCCGAGTCGTCAAGATTATGGGAGGAAGCTTAGAACAGAGTAGGGTTGTCAAGGGTATGGTTTTCGGCCGTGAACCAGATGGATCAGTCAAGAAAGCCTCCAGGGCAAAGGTTGGTGTATTCTCATGCCCAATCGACATCAGTCAAACAGAAACCAAGGGTACCGTTTTATTACATAACGCCAAGGAGATGTTAGATTTCACAAAGGGAGAAGAGAACCAGTTGGAGACTGCCATTAAGGAGCTTTACGATTCCGGTCTACGAGTCGTCGTTGCTGGTTCTACCGTAGGTGAACTTGCTATGCATTACCTTAACCGCTTTGGTATTTTGGTCATCCGCATTCTCAGCAAATTCGAACTCAGGAGATTATGTAGAGTTGTCGGTGCTACTCCACTAGCTCGACTTGGAGCACCAATGCCTGATGAGATGGGAAGTGTTGATATTGTGGAGACCCTCGAGATTGGTGGAGATAGAGTCACAGTTTTCAGACAAGAAAACGAAACCACAAAAACTGCCACTTTAGTCCTTCGAGGAGCAACAATGAATCATCTTGATGATGTCGAGCGTGCTGTTGATGATGGGGTCAACGTCGTTAAGGCTATCACGAGAGATCCAAGACTCGTACCAGGTGCCGGAGCTACAGAGATTCAATTGGTTGAGAGGATACAAGCTTTTGGTGACAAGACTCCTGGTTTGGCTCAATACTCCATTCGCAAGTTTGGTGAGGCTTTCGAAGTTATTCCAAGAACCATTGCAGAAAGTGCTGGTCTTGATGCCACAGAGACGCTAAGCAGACTTTATACTGCTCACCACAAGCACGACAACTGGAATACCGGTGTTGATATTGAGGTAAGCCCCGTTGGTTCTATTTTGCTACACTTACACTAATTTTTCAATAGAATGAGGATGATACCGGAACTCTTGATGCAAAGCAAGAGGGTATTTTAGATCTTATGATTTCAAAGAGTTGGGCTATCAAGCTTGCTACCGAGGCCGCAAGAACTGTGCTCTCTGTTGATCAGATTATTGTTGCTAGACAAGCTGGTGGACCAAAGCCTCCAGGACCAAATCCTGTAAGTTCACAATTGTTCCATTGACGATGACCCTTACTGATTGTGATAGAACTGGGATGAAGATTAGATATAATGCATTAAAAGCGCGTGCGAATGTAAAATACCAAGTCGTCATGAATTATGAAAGACAATTTACGATGTCCAACGAATCTTCTAATTTGTCCATGATTTTCTCTTTTAAGCTTTTGAATTCCGTGCCGCCCAGCCCTATTATGCAGTACCAATTCACTTTAATGCTAACCAAAGCTTCGAGCGCTATAACATGAAGTAGAATTGCATCTCAATTTTCTCTCTGGCTTAGAGATACGTCAAAAGAATTGGCAAACGAATGAACCGCCCCTGCGATTAGACATCCCAGTCGTCTGATTTGACGTGCAGGAGCTGATGGCCGCCAAGCTCGTTTCGACGTTCATCTGAAATTGAGGGCGTGTGCCAAAATCTTTTTCGGAAACTAACAAGAACAAATCCTCCTTTCAGAAAATATAAACCATCTGAAATTAAACTCAAAACGAAGATCAGACGAACCTTCATCATTTGACGAATGATGAGATTGATCAGTGCAGATCAAACAGATTTTCCCGAGACCTGACCCGAGACTTGACCTCCTAACCGCCAAACAAAACGGCTACATGGGAACAAGATTTGCGACGCGTGTGGTTTCATTACTTGCATGTTTGCTCAGTTGAAGTTGATTTTCTGCTTATTCTGTGTTAAGAATAACCCTGAGAGAACTTCTTGGTAAAGTCCTTATTACCAAGTATCTTTGCTTTTAGAAAATCTATATGCTGTGGCCTTTGACAGGAGTTGTTTCGAGGGGCGCTGGTGTAATGTAACTCAAGTATGTAAAGTTGATATATACCGTCGTAAGTTTTCTGCTTTATTGCACATCAAAAAACTCAATTGCGATTATTTCTAATCTCCTACCTTCATTACTATTTCTTCGTCTTTCATTCTCTCTTTCAATATTTACATTCCTTAGACTGCTGGGCAGTCTTTCGTTCTTTTCAACAAGTGTACGAAGATTTTTACTCCTTGTAATCAATCATTTTTACCCTATTACATATCAACCCACCCGTAATCATGTATCTTTCCTTTTCAATATTACTATTAGCAACACGAAGCTTTGCTTCCCCCGCCTTTCGTAAAAGAATTGTCGCTTCTCTTGACCCGACTGCCTTTGAGGAAGCACAGCAACGGGACGATTCTGCAACAAGAGCTTTCACGTCGGTTCCAATCACAGTATGACATTCCTCTGCTTGGGCTTAGTTTTCAGGTGCTAATCAAGACGTAGACTTCGTCAGGGCAATGTCTCTTCGTGGATGAACTTTCCGGTGACTTCAGAGCGAACATAACACCCATTCAAATAGCTGCCTGTGATGGCAGTACGGGGCAACTTTGGGATGTTCTCACGAGTGGAAAGCATAACAATGTAGCAGGTAGTATGCTAGTTGTCAATACTTTGGTGGGCAAAGTCAGGCTTCTTTTTCGTTCCCTTCAAGGACTAATGAGTCTAGACTCAAGCTTGCTTGAATTTCGATCCTCGCCGTGCGGCTGGTAATACTGTCATCATGTTTTCTTGCGGCGGTCGGGCTGACGGAGGTACGTATTATTCATTTCCTTTAGTCCCCAGGGTTCTTACTGACCTGAATTAGATGGGCTTGTCACAAACTCCCAGCTCTTCCCATTCAATGAAACTTCCGGGCCACTTACTCTTTCTCCCGACAATGCCCCAGGCATTTGCTTATCTGCTACTGCTGTCAATGTTCTTGATCAGGCTCCTTGTGATGGATCTGATTCTAGCCAAACATTTACTTTTGGTGCTTCAAGTGCTTCCAATGCCTCCTCCAATCCAGCAATCGCCAGCTCTGTTGCACCATCGGCCTCAAGCGCAACAGACGTTTCATCATCAGCCATTCTTATATCTTCCGCAGCTACGTCTTCATTGCCTTCTCCGGCTTCTCCATCATCATTGGCTGTCACTGCAGCTGCTTCTGCTGTACCGACAAGCGATCCAACGACCCCTCTTCCCGTATCCCGTGCTGGAAATGTACTCGATCCTTCTGCCGCAGCTAAAGCCAATGAGATGGATAACACTGCCTTAAAGGCTTTTTCGTCCGTCGCTCTAAAAGATGCATCTGGCCAATGTCTATTCGTTGATCCAACTGCCGGCGACTTTAGACGGAATCTGATTCCAATCACTCTACAAACATGTGATGGGAGTCAAAATCAAGCTTGGGATATCGTTACAAGTGGAAAGCATAACAACGTGCCCGGCTCGGTGCTTGTAGTTAGCAGCTTGGTGAGTAGCTATTTTCTCTACAGACAGTTGTCGCAAAATGCTGATAATTCTGGACAGACTCAAGGATGTCTTAACTTTGACCCGAGAAGAGCTGCTGGCGATACAGTTATTATGTTCTCTTGCGGGGGAAGAGCCGATGGCGGTATGTGTTTTCGGAACTGTCCTACATAATTAAACGAAAAGCCCGCTGATCTTTTTGATAGATGGTTTGGTAACAAACTCGCAGTTGTTCCCATTCATAGAAGGCCCAACAGAAATCTTACTTGCCCCTGAAAATGGGAATAACGCAACTTGTCTTGTGGCAAATGCTGATGGAAAGCTAGATTCTACTCCATGTGCTGGTGACGCTAAAAGCCAATCATTCACTATTTTGACAATTTAGAAGCAATATGTTTTGGTATGGTTACATTGGGGTTGTTTTCCGCATCTGGAGTATTGCGAGACAGTTCTCGTGGGAAAGTTTCAGGGTTTGTTGAATATTTATTTGATTGGAAGCAAACAAATGCATCGTGTAGGCAGAGTGTCAGATCCTTGAAAAAGTCGGCGGTTATTCGCGTACTACTTGGAAATATGTGACTATTTTTATCGATTGGCTGGCCTACGAATTGTGCGGCTCTGCTATCCTATAAGCAACTATTAAAGAATTATACAATTGCTGCTCTTCTTTTTCTGCAGCGATAACTCTGATAATCTCAATATTTCAATACTTATAAGCAGTTCAATCTTTATGCGACTAAGAATTTCCGATTGGGAGACAGCCTCGAAAATTAGTTCACTCAGCTGAGATTCCGCTGAGCATAATGGATTGCTCAGATTGCTTCGCAGGATCAACGAGAAGCTTTCCAGGGATCTTGATAGTCGATTAGGTGTGAACGCCTCGACGTCAAATCAACTTAGTGCTAATTGACCTGATGCTGTTCGAAATGACATTTGAAGATGGTACGAAAACACCTACTCTGGGCCTCAAAAAGCGCTTTCTGTCGAATTACCACCGTCGAGACCTGCCTCGCCGGTAGAGGGCGCAAACTCGCAATAGAAGATAACTGAATCTGTTGAAAATGATATTGAGTCTTGCGAGTGTCTACATAAGTTTTCCAAAAGATTAAGATCTTGGGATTATCCACACTCAGCTACACCACTCCTTGATTTTGATGACTTAATATTATGCAATTTTCCTTAACAAAGACTTCATATCGCGAGGGATTGACGCCAATCATAACCCTCAACGAAAGAGTTCGGTTGACCATATGCAAAAGACAATAGTAGATGGTGGCAAGAAACAGGAAAGAGATCTGAACTATTCAAACCAACAATCGGAAGTGAGGTTCCTACGGAATGGTGGATACCTATCTATTTGATCAAGGAAACCTTTAAACGTAGCTCTTCTACAGAAATGACGAGCAAGGAAGATGAGGATAAGCCTTCTGCGTGTTCCGATCCCAATTCCTGTTTCCAGTGCGATCCGATCAAGAGAAACAACAAAACCTCCAAACTCATGAATGTGTTTGCGAGGCTTCGCAGAGGCTGAGAATTGGGAGACGCCCGTGTTTGATCGTGTTTATGTGCCTTTGCATACACTTACTTGACCGGTGTTGAGACTTCATAACTAAATGTTGATGTATATTCGTTGGCTGGCAATTGCCGTGCTGGGCCACATGCATCTATTCGAGACTTTCCTCTGACAAGTGTTGGCCTCCGACATGTCAGAAGATATAGTTGACAATTCATTTCTGTCAGACTGCAAATCATGGGGTTCTCAATACTTACCGCGTCTTTGACTGCTTTTCTGATACTTATATCCATTTTACTCATGCGTCGCCTTCTATTCTCAACGCAGACAGACATTCCAATCTTCCCAGAAATCACGAGAATCAGCAAGGCTCTTGCAGCAGCTCTGCCTGATAGTGTTATTCTACCTCAAAGTATCACTACTTTCAACAAGGCAGTGAATGGCTACTGGGCAAAACAGGAATGTGAAGTAAGCCCATCATGTATTGTTCGTCCCCGCAATGATGAGGAACTTTGTATAGCTGTCACTTTACTCAAACGCGAGTATTATGAACGGAGGAGATAAAAGGCTGGTGAAGATAAAGCCGATGGATTGTTCGCTATCCGCAGTGGCGGCCATTCTTGTATTGCTGGGGCAGCGAGTATCGAAGGAGGTGTTCTTATTGATCTTAGTTGTTTCAACGAGGTCATACCTTCTGAGGGTAATGATGAATCAAGCGTGATAATCGGAGCCGGATGTAGGTGGATGGATGTTTCGAAAGTTTTGGATGAGAGAGGGCTGGCTGTTGTTGGTGGCAGAAAGTCTGCTGTGGGAGTTGGTGGGCTGACTTTGGGAGGTAAGTTTATGATTATTTAATTCCTGGAGCAGTCTTTTAATTTCTTAAATATAGGCGGTTTCTCATTCTTCTGTCCTCAATTTGGTCTAGTATATTCCAACATAATCAGCTACGATATCGTTCTCGCATCAGAAACTCTCGCCACAGCTTCCGCGACCCAGAATTCTGATCTCTGGCGTGCTCTCAAAGGAGGATCTAACAATTTCGGCATCGTTACTCGCTTCACGGCCCGCAGTTTTCCCAGTATCAAAATCTGGAGCGCGTTTCTCTACATGCCTAGTTCTCAAACGAGCAAAGTCATCTCCGTCTTCCATGAAGTCGTGAATCGAGTTGATTGGGATCACCATGCTGCTGGTCCTTTGGCATGTTCTACATATATACATCCATTAGGCGTCCAAGCTATCTCCGTGAATCTCGTATACACGAAGCCGTCCGAGAATAAATGGCCAGAATATTGGAAACGATCGCCCTTTTCATCAACGTGGCGTTTTTGGAGTACATGCAAATTGCGTACATTAACAAGTGCGACCGATGAAATGAATGCTCTTAATCCCCCTGGAAAACGCCAAGTACTCGCTACGACAACTATCAAGAATGATATCGCTACACTGACAGCTACACATGCTGTGTATCAGAATGCTATATCTTCACTGCGGAGTGTGAAAGGTTTAGTCTAGACGCTAGTCATGCAACCATTAATACCAGATTAGGTACGCAAAGGTGACGCGAATCCATTGAGACTACACGATATTAATGAACCTCTTGTGATCGTAAGTTTTACAGTGAATTGGCCCAATGCTCGAGACGACGAAGTGGTGAAGAAAATTACACGGCGAGCAATCGAAGAAATTGAACATAGTGCGGAGAAGAATGGGACTGGTCATAAATGGAAATATTTGAATTACTGCGCGGAGTGGCAGAGACCATTTGGGGGATATGGAGAGGAGAATGTAAGATTTTTGAGGGGTTTTAGTCGAGTATATGATAGTGAGGGATTGTTTCAGAGAGGTTGTGTGGGGGGATTTGAGCATGGAATGCCTATTGATAATGGGATTGAGAGATGATCAATCATGCGAACTGCTTCATTTGTCGAGAGCTTTAGATAGACTACATTAAATGAGCGTATTGATATATCATAGCACATGCCAATTTTTTAACAAAGTTCATTCTCATCCGTGTTGGGATCTGCAATGGCCTACACCTCAGTCCACCAGTGGGTTTGCGGACTGACGGGACAATGCAAAAGATTGACTTGTGAATATATCTTGATGTATCCATTCCTAGGAATTCCTACAATCTTTCATCAAAAATGAAACAATCAGAATGTGATATTTGATATCAAACAATCGAAAATTGAATTTATTGATAATTTTGGAAATTGAAAAGTATCCCGTCAATCGGTGCACTCACTGGTGGTACTATAAATAAAGAAAGAACTTTGATCCTTGAGTCCAATCGAAACATTCAAATCGCTTAAATTATTGTACAGACTATAGATATTGAACTGTTCTCAAGGGGTTGAAAGCTTCGGTTTGGCTTGCTGGTCCGGATTACTTTGCTTTAGAGCCTTGGTAAAGCGCTTACCGTCATGCCAAGCAAGTTAGATATCATATCAATATCCACAGCACTAGAGTCGTAATGACCACCAGCTTGTAGTGCTAACCAATACTTCTGAAAATCATAATATTAATCGCAACAATCAAATACACTCAAAACAATACTCGAAACAAAAGTGGCATTCATCATATATATTGCAATCACCTGATCGTCTGAGATGCGATCATGCTATAGTATAGGTAGAATAATAATACAAATTCAAACAATCAACCACCCATCATATTTCCTCGCGCAAAAAAAAAATCCAAAAAAAAATCCACAAACTCGACAAAAAAGCTCCAAATGCTAAACAAACAATGCAAGTACCACATCCCGCGCGTCAAAATGCCAAGCATTTCCAGATATATCCATCCTTTTTTACCGTACCATCATTGCCAGGTCATTCCATCAAAGATATGAGGAAAAATGGTATGTATATCCATATGCGTGTGCCAATACACTTTTGATCGTCATACCCGTTGAGTGAATTCTAGTCCAGGTGGGAAAGAAAGAGAATTTACTCGCAGGCAGACCACCAGTCGTCAGTTTTAACACACTTGAAGCCAGATGCACACACAGTGGATCCGGTGTATGACTCACCTCCGCACTGGCTCCATTGGGGAACAGTTCCGGAAGCGGCAGTGGCGCTTGCTCCTGCAGATGCAACGGTAGTTTTTTCATCGGCAGCCTTAGCTGTAGTAGTAGCAGCGGCCTTAGCGGTAGTGGTAGCAACAGCCTTGGAGGAGACAACGGTAGACTTGACTTTAGTGGTAAGGGTGGTTGGGGCAGGGGTGCCGGAAGCCTTGGCAGTAGTTGCTGCAGCAGAGGTATTGGCGGAGCCAGTAGATCCTGAAGCAGGGGGGCCTCCAAGTGCCTTGTTGATGTTGGCAAGGTAACCACTGTTCCCAATGATAGTGACCATATCCCAAGACATGATACCACCGAAGCTTTTGAAAGTCTTAGAGTAGGTGATGACATCAGTAAGAGTGGCTTGGTCAATGTAACCTGTGGTGGCGGCGCTGGTGCTACCTGGGATACCGACGAAAACCTTAACATTCTTGTTCTTGGAGGTGGTTGAAGCCCATGTATCCCATGTGGCCATGTTAAATTCGCTTTGAGTAGTGCTTCCCTTGACGAACTTGTTAAGACCACAGTTATTGTTATAGAATTGGACGAAGACAGCATCGAAAGAGACTGCACCTTGAAGGAAAGACTTATCGGCTTGATCAGGGTAAGGACATTGTGGGGCGGCAGTCAAGTAGTATTTTTTGCTGGTCTCAGCATCCGACAGAGTGCGGAGTTCTTGAGCGAAGACGTCCAAGTTGGTAAGACCTTGAGTTTCGATATCAAAATCGAAACCATCAACGACAGCGTCACCAAATGGTCGAGTTTTCGAGGATGAGGTTTTGGGACCAAAGGCAGCCCAAACATTCTTGGCGGCAGTAGTTGCGGCATCAGCACTTGCGAGTTCATTCTCGGTGTAAGTTGCTCCTCCAATGGAGAGGAGAATTGTCTTACCCAGACCCTGGCAAGTGACGATATCCTTTGCGACTTGAGCGGGATCTGCGTTTCCGACATTGACAGTCAACTTGTTAACAGAGATCAAAAAAGCGATGGGAATGATGTCAAAGCCAGCATCTGTAATGGTTTGTCAGCTTTTTGCCTTTTATTTTTTCAAGAAGATGAATGATTGTAAAGTCTTACTTGAGCAGTATGATGCGAGTGTCCCTTGGTTAGGACCTTGACCCCAGTAGATGGCAACACTGTTAGACGAGGTGGAACTAAAGCCAGCAAAGGTAGATGGAAGGGATGCGAGCATGCTCGCGAACCCGATGAGACTTTTTGTTGAGTACATGATGAAATGAAGTAGAGAAAAAAATTGTAGACTGTAGGTTTCAAATGAATGTATGAAGGAAAGTAATGGGATAAAAACCCGAAAAGGAAAGAAATGAATGTGAGTAGAAAACGTATGTGAGTAGTTGTTGTTGATGATGTTTTACTTTTCAAACCGAAAGAGCATACTTATATAACTTCATCTTTAGACCGGTGAATAGATTCCTCATTTGGTGAACCTCAAAGGCCTCCCGTTACGAAGCATTCGATTACCATGAATAGAATCATAATGAATTGCGCCTTCTTGGAGTAGCTTCGGGTTGCAGTGGGATCATTTCTGAGATGAAGTGCGAATCCTATGCCAAGCCACTCCAATCAGTACACACAAGCCTGGAATTCCTTCGAGAAAAATAATATGGTCTGTCCATAATCTGTCGAACAAGATCCATGAGCCTTCCAGAAGCAGTAACACCATCATACCTCAAGATTTGATGACCATCAGCAACACGCAGGGCCAAAGGATATGTTAAGCCGATTCGTCTCTCACGAACGTGTTCGTACGGTTCATTGGCCTCCTCCGCCCAAACCTGCCGGTCAACATCTAATCGACCCCCGTCAGTTGGCAAACGTGCCGATTAGCATACGTGCCAACAAGCAAAATTCGTGATCTCTAAAGACCCTACTATTTGTAATTTCTTAGAAACTTTAGACCACTCGTAGCATATAGTATCTGAGTTAGCATCACGACATGGCCGTGGCCAAAGTCACAAATGCCGATAGCCTACTAGCTATTCTAGAGCAACACCAACCGTGTTTGCGTAATCTTTGAACAACATAAATAAGAGATGGAATCAAGTAAAGTCCTCATTTGGAGTCGATATCGACAAACCCAGAAGCTTATTGCAACGTTACCAGGTTCCTGTCATCAGTTTGAAATTAAGGACTTGGATACTGCGGCGAAGGTCGTTACTGATACCCCATAAATATCTTACAGATGCATCCAAGATAAAATGCCCTCCGCAGAATCTTGAGGAAGACTGCATCTCATCTCACACAAATCGCTTTTTGGTGCGTATATCTGATAGAGATCGATGAGATGCGGGAGCAAGTTGCAACACGTTCGACCCCACACTGTCATTATTCAGCTTGTTGTTCACCGGGTTGGGGGCTTTCTGCTTATCTAATGAAACAGGATGCCCCTGAAGCTAAACTCCTTTCGACTTTTGTGTAAAACGACTCAGCCGCGAAGGATTGATATTTTGCTAATAATCTACCTTTCCCATATGGATGATGATTAGAAGATTATCCTATCGAAAACACGTGAACATCGCGTCCCTAGGAAGGAAGTGATTCATTTCACTGGCTGATTGGTGTATTGCAAGTGTCCCGTTGATTCAGGAATTCCGAGCACCAATTGCTGACTACAAACGAGATGAAAAATCCTTCTTTCTTATTGGGTTTCATATCCTATTACACTCACACTCCCTCTCATCTATTCTTACATTTAAGCTTCTGACCACCTTCCCAATATCGTGTGCTTGTGTTTCCCTCCTTCGATCTCGATGACAATCAGATGATTGGGAAATACAAGATTGCAATGTCACTTCATCTTTGTCCAATGTCTATATTCGGCTCTTTGTATAAGGCTGGCGTACAACTCCTAAAGGAATGCATGGGAGTAACCATACATTCTTTCTATATTTGTCTCAATTCTTTAAGAAGCCAATCATACTCCCTTTGTTATCTACCGGCCTCGAATTAACCACGTTCATGTTACATATTGTACTCGATGTTTGATGTTTGATACCAGCTCTTTGGTAAAGGATCAGTTTTCTACTTAAAATTGGAAGTCTTGCTCGATCTTGCAGGAAGATTGTGGCACATTGAGATTTCCAATTACCCCGCGAAAGCCCAAATTGCTCGGAAGAGAGGCTTTCCAGTCTGACGCAAGCAAACTTCATATTGAGGCTGATGATATTTTTTGGTCCAACTTCTTTTCTCTATCTCTCGTAAGCGTCATCTACTTCTTCGTCAGCACTCACTACTTTCCAGCCTGAGTTGGTAACATTTGATGATTTTATTACTTAATGGGTGCTCCTCGAGCATGCGAATGTGGATTGGAACATATTCTAAATTTATGAAAATAGCTTTGATCCATCTTCCTCATTAAAAATTAAGTATGGCACGAGCTATCATGCTAATCCACTGTTTCTAATAGCCCAAACTGCAGTGAGTTCATCAAAGATCGAAAGTTTTTCTTAAAATGCGTTGTATTTTTTGGGCAGTTTTACGATTGCAGTTTGGAACATTTGACATTCATAGCTGGTAATTCCAATTTAGAATTTAAGATTCCCAGTAGTTTTTCCTGGATCTGCTCTAAAAAGGGAATCTCTTGTGCTAGCCAATATTACATGAGTTCATTATTGAGTGCCGCCCAATATCGAGTTAGTCTTCTTGATGTTGAATATTCCACGGCATGACCAGCCTTTTACTCCTCACCGACAGAAATTTCTGGTCTATAAGATAGTCTTACCCATTGGTGTAAGTTGATTAGCAGAAAATATCGCTCGGATTGGTGGTCTTTGACGTCCACACTCAAGTTACTGAAAAGGCACTGAAATTACGTTCATTACTC